TCGTCGCCGACGGTGCGTGCGCGTGCGCGCGCGCTTCGTCGCCGCTCGTGTTTTGCGTCCGTGTGCGTGCTCGTCCGCGCGCCTGTGTGTGTGAGTGTGCGATCGCCGTCGATTACGCACGGTCTCTTCTGGCTCGACGCGCGCACGCACGCCACGGCCGACGTCGACATTGATTGCTCGCTGACCGACCGTGTTTCCACTGCCGTTCTCGTCCGGCCCGTTATGGTGGTCGTCTCCGCGCCGCCGACCTCGCGTCCACTACGGCAACAGCAGTGCGTGTAGCCCGTCGCCCGTCGCCAACGGTTGTTCCCTATCGTCTCAACACCGACCCGAACGGTGAGGAGAGCACCTACCTCGTCCTCGCGCATATTCCAGCCACGAAAGGTGAGTCAACGTGTGCGGTGTGGGTGTGTTGAGAATCAGCGGTCGGCTGTTGTGACCGGGGGCGGTGGGTCTCGGAATCACTAGCCCGGCTAGGTACCGACTAGGCCCGACGGGGGGTTTCGACGAGTTCAGTGCTCGAAAACCTCCCTATGGTACTGCCACTGCGGGGCTGATGGTTCACCGATCTTTTTCGTCTGTTAACTACTAACCGTTTTCATTATTAGAAACTTTGTACCTGTGGTTCTCGGATCTTTTTGTGGTCGCGATCCCCCCCCTATAATGTCGTCAAGATTTTCAGCGACACTCTTAACTACATTAACATTAAAAAGTAGTGATAAATTAATACGATTTATACAATGTTTTTATTGAAAATCCGAAACTTCAATTTTAATTCTCAACAATCATTATCATGATGTTTACAAAAATACCTCACTAGTTATTTTATACATTGACGACCCTAAAAAGATTGCTGGCAATCTCTAAGAGGGTCGTGATCCTTAGTTTTAGAATCACTGCTCTGTACATTATATTATCTCAAGAATTGTCATGCTCAATCTAATTGATGCATTTGTTATCATATGAAAAATTACATCATGCATATTATTTTGTTAAAGACTTTTCATCATAAAATAGTTAATGATTTTTATTGAGTATGTTTATCTCAATACTATGTATGAATATAATTTTAATAGATTTAAATCATTAAATAACCATTTGAGTATAATTAATATATAACTTATTTCTCATTAACAAACAGAATAACCGCCTACAAAATGTACTACCAAAATTAAATTTAAACCCATAATTAATTGGGAAATTGTTGTGCAATATGTTTATTAGATTTTTTATTTAGCTATTACTATTTTTTGGTCTATATAATTATTAATTTTGTAATGTCACCTGATTATTGGTTTTGGATATCTTTAAGTTAATATTAAGTTCAAGGTACAGAATAGAAATCTAATTTTAAACAAACATTTTTTTGTTTTAAATTAGTATCTGCCTAATTGAAATTCAATAATCAAAATATATACTTATTAACAGCGGGCGATCGGCAAAAAACTTCGGCCCGGGAAATTACCCTACAACTGGCCCACCATCCAATAATATTTTCCATAAAAGTCTCTTTTATTCATGAATTAAATGCTCGTAGAATTGTTTACATCATGTTTACACTAGGTTTTTATCAAAATCTTACAATTAAATACATTATTTTTATAAATTAATTTTTAATCCAAATACATCGGCCCAGTTTTATAATACTGCCGGACCACCAAGAACTTTCCCAGTATCCCTGTGAGCCAATCTGCCACTGCTTATTAACCTTTCATAATTGAAATTGATTTATAAATAGCTACTTGACTATTTTACTTACTATAAAATTATATATTTTAATGTTTTAATGTAATGTATATATATGTATGTAAAGTTATTTATTTATTTTGTCATAAAATATCAGTATATATTGTGTATTAAATAAGTGAATGTGTATGTAAATATCAAGACAAATACTTAACAAATTGGTAACTTGTTAGGTATCATATTATAATTTACTATTATATTCCAAATCTACATCACTGTCCAAATCTAAGCTTTAATAGTTGTTTTCTGTTGAGCTTTCTACTTTGAAAATGTATTCACATATTCAGCCCCAATAAAGACAATATTTAAAAGTAATAAAATAAATTCCTATAAGGTTGGACAAAAAATTTAATATGTTTGCTGTAATCTACTATCTACTTCATAATACATTTTCAACATTTCAGTTTTATCAGGTTTTATACTTTAATACTATAATCTTACTTATATATTTTTTTTTTTTAAATAACTTTTAATTACATGTTTTTCCTCTTTTTTATACATACCTAGTATAGAATGAAAAAAATCATGTTACAAGTATATGACAGTATGTGTCTTTTTCTACTGGATTAATTTAATGTATTGCCTGGTTTATTGATATTTATTTACTTATTTGAGTAAACATTTTAATAATAATTTTGCATTTAGATATATAAAACAAAATATTGAATACCAATAATTTTATTATTATGTTAGTAATTTCTTAATTTTCATTTTAAATAGATAACTAAGCTTATTAGTTATTAATATTTTGCAACATCTTAATAATTTTGATTGTTGTTGATTAAATACATTTTAGATTAAATATTTTATTATGCTTTGAAAAGTCACATTTATATTGTGCTAGATAGATAATGCTAGATAAAAGTATAAAGTACTTATATGCATAGGTTCCTGTTATGTCATATCATTATCTGCATATTACATTTTATAATTTGTGTTTTTACAATATTTTTAAAAATTTCAAATACTATTTTAACTTATGTTCAGTTACAAAAAAAAAAAAATTGGATGATTTTAAACTTATAAGCTTGAATTAATTTTATTCAAATATTCAAAAAGGATAGTTGTTGTTGATTGATATTTTAAAATTATTTAACATAATGTATACTTAGGTTTTAATATTATATATAGACTACTATAATTGGAAAACAACATATATAGATCAAATATTATAATTTTCATTATTTATTAAAAATCAGTTTTCATGTTAAGCACTTAAAAAAAGGATTAATTTTTTTTTTTTTAAATTAAGTACATGGTTATTCACGCATCGTAGCTTAAGTAGTTCACAATTATAATATAAATAGTTAATACAACTTGATATAACAGAAGTTAATCTCATGCTTGATTACACAAGGATACATTTTTTTTACCAGAGCATATTTAAATCATTATCATTATTTTCCTTGTAAAAAAAGAGAAATTGTTTGTTTTGTTTTAACTAGATATATATTAAAACGCTATAAATCTGTTGAAGTTCTTTTAACTATTAAAACTATTTCTTAGAATTTAAATGTGATAAAACAACATTAAAAATACATATATATCAAATTTAAATTACTACTGAATTAAAAAAATTGATTATTCTTTTACGGTTAATAAATTATGCCAACTGATAAAAATTATTTATTTAATATAGGTATGTAGTAATTCATATTATACATTTTAATAAGTCTCCTTATTAAAAAATAAATAACTCTCTTAAAATTAGATACGATCATCAATATTTAATATATACTCTATTAAATATAGTTTATTTATGTGTGTGTGTGTGTTTATGTTGGATTAAAATGGACATTAAATTAACATTTAATCTTATCAAGAATAATAAGTAATTTTTTTTTAATTTCTAGATTATGTCTTGTGAATCCATACATTTATATTTTGACCAACTGGACTATTAAAAACTTCTTGAAAATATTGCTTATAGCTATTTTCAAGTCTATACAGTTATGTTGGAAGCTAGATTGTTAGCTGCCGATCGCGAATCAGCTACGTGGCAAGGCAAGTCAGCAGTAAACAACATACGTCCTCCTCCTCATACACCTCATCATCATCATATGTCCGCCATGAGACCAGGTATTTTGAATAATTATTGTAAGATAATAAATATTTACCAATTTATTATATAGTAATACATGTTTATATTATTATTTTAAAGTGAATAAAACAAATCAAGAAGATAACTGTTATGTAGTGGCTAAATATGATTATGTGGCTCAAAGTGCCCAAGAATTAGATTTAAGAAAAAATGATCGTTACTTATTATTAGACGATTCTAAACACTGGTGGAGAGTTCAAAATGCCTGTGGATTCCCTGGTTATGTACCCAGCAACTATGTGAAAAAAGAAAAACCTTCTCTTTTTGACAGGTAAGTTAAATTTATTTATTTATATATAATTTGAGAAATAGTAATAAGCAATTACAATTTTTTCTGTATATAAATCAGTATAAAGAAAAAAGTCAAAAAGAGTGGCAGTAATTCCAGTGCTGGTAGTAAAACATTACCATGTAGTAGTCATGGCAATGGTCGAACCGTGAGTGAATCTCCAACAATGGCCAGACGCTTACCAGCTGATCCATCAGAAGCCATAGGTACAGCCCTAGTTAAGTATAACTATCAAGCTCAACAACCAGACGAATTATCATTAATCAAAGGAACAAGAATATTAATTCTTGAGAAAAGCAATGATGGGTAATAAAAAATATTAAGAGTGACAAACAAAATTTAAATATTATTACTTGATGTTATTTTACATTTTTATAGATGGTGGAGAGGTCAAAGTGGTTGTATGGCTGGTTGGTTTCCAAGTAACTATACCACTCAAGAAGATGACAATAATGGAGATGATATGGGTCTCCACACATATGCAATGGCTGAGAATGTATTAGATATTGTTGTTGCTTTATATCCATTCACTGGTACATCAGATCAGGAATTAAGTTTTGAAAAAGGTGACAGGTTAGAAATTTTGGAAAGACCTGCTGCAGATCCAGAATGGTATAGGGCCAGGAATGGTCAAGGTCAAATTGGTTTAGTACCCAAGAATTATTTACAGGTAATTAATTTTTTTAAATGATAAATAATTAAGGAATAAGATTAGAACAGTTAAGCAGAATAAGGCATCAATGTTAAATGCACCATTTTTGGTTTGATCCTAACCACAAATGACTTCTCTTGCTATTCTTGGGAAAAACAACTAACCTAAAAGAGAAACATCTATTCTTCTCCCCTGTGCAGAAGGAATTGAGAAACTATTGTATAGTAAGACTTAAAACAAGTCTAAAAAACCGTAGATAAATCAATCTGATAGTTGTAAACATGAAGAAATTAAAATTTAATATATATATTATATATATTTAATTTAAAATTTTATTATTTTATTTATTTAAAAGCATATTACATTAATGTATAATTTTGAAGGAACTCAGTGAATACTTGGCTCAACCATTAACTCAAGCAGCTAATAGTGTACAAGTTATTGACAAACCGCATTTAAAGGGGAAACCGTGGTACTATGGAACAATAACTAGAGCTCAATGTGATACAGTATTAAACAACAATGGTCAAGATGGTGATTTCTTAGTTAGAGACAGCGAGACTAATGTACATTACTATTTTTTACTCCTTCAGTCAAATTAAACTGTTAACTAATATTAAATAATTACAGGTAGGAGATTATTCAGTATCATTGAAAGCACCAGGACGAAACAAACATTTTCGAGTGCATGTAGAAGGAGCATTATACTGCATAGGACAACGCAAGTTTCACACACTGGATCAACTTGTTGATCATTATCAAAGAGCTCCCATTTATACCAATAAACAAGGAGAAAAATTGTTTTTGGTTAGAGCTTTGCCTCGAGCAAATGCTTAAAAGCATCGGTAAGTGTTCAAAAAGATTATGAGTGCAATATATTTTTTTTTTTTTTTTAGATTTATTTAATAAATTATTTATTAAGAATTTGAATGTTTAAATATTAATTATTAAATTTTTTTTATATAAACTCTTCTATAAATGTAATTTAATATTAAATTCTTATTATAGTTATACCATGTTTTCTATCTTTTTTAATTTTTACTAATTATGTTAAATAGTATAGATTGTATAAATATTATAAATATAAATAAAAAAAATAGTTATAATTGGAATACTTATTTGTACAAAAAAAAATTAAAGAAAATAATATGAGTGTCTTAATTGTCTATATTTACTCAAATATGTTTAATATTGACTGTGAACCAACTTAAATTATAAACATTATAATTTTTAAGATCATTAATTCATAACTTTGCTTGATTAATGATGAATTTCATAAATATCAAAAATGTAATAATAATGAATTAGTTACGAAATTTTTCTTGAAACAAAAACTATTTGTATGCATTTTGATAATTCATTTAGCCAAAAACTTCCATTTTGGAATATAATTTGGATAAAATAGTTCATTATTTTTTATAATTGTATCAAAATTTAAGGATTTTGGATTAACAAACTAACTTTTCCAAAGGTAAAAAACGTACTGATTACATTTTATGTACACATAATGTTTTAAAAATATATTTAAATTCTGAAATATAACAATATAAGTAAATTTTTTTTTTTTTTAGTTTTGTTTTACTAATCTTATGTAATTATTTAAAATTGTAAAAAATCTTATGAATACTTGGGTGTTACATGGTAATGAAGTTAATTTAATTTTTTTTTTTTTTTTTGAAAAAAAACTTCAATATATTACAACTATGTTTAATTTACAGTTAACTTTAAAAACATAATATAGAGGAACATAAGAGTTTCTTAATTTATATATAATAAATTAAAATATTTATAATTTCTGGAGTTATCAAGTTATCATTATTAATATCAAAATGGAAACAATTATTTTCTACATCAGAGAAGATATAAAACACGAATTTAAAAAAAAAAAAGTTAATATTTATTGAATTTTATATTGACTGAAAGATTTATTTCAAACATAATGTTAAACATTTATTTTGAATAGTCTGTGTATGATAATACTTTTATAATCATTCAATCAATATCAAATACTTCAAAATTATTCACAATATGTTAGTCATTGATTTAACAAAGAAAATCCAAATTATAAAATGATAAAATCTTAATGATGAGTTTAGTAATTTGGATTAAAAAAATTCTGTAAAATATTTTTCTTGATTAATTATTAAATAATTCTTGTTAAGTACTAAATATATTTAAAATGCAAATGTGAAATTTTTTGTTGTTTACTTAAGGAAACAATGAATATTATTAAATTCTTGGGTCTATTTTTATATTAAATTATTGATAAAATATTTTCATAAAAAATGTTATATATTATTTTATTTCAATTAGTTTTAGTTAATTTGTATTAAATTGCTTACCATGTTGGTTATTTTTCATTTATATATTTATTGTGATTGAAACCTAAATGATAATTGGTCTTTTGTTTGACTAATTAAATTTATTATGAATACATTTATCTTTGCAAAATACTAAGTTTTATTTAGTCTTTAAACTTAATTTCTATAATTTTTAATGTACATACATTTTAAGTTAATAGAAAACCTAAATATATTTAATTTATTTTTGATTACCTAACCTAATCATAATTAACATTATGTTCAACATAAAGGTTACATTTTTAATTATATAACTCATAAAAAATAATAATAATAATATTAGTTAAAGTAATTAAACTTGGACAGTAAGGTTATATTTAATATTTTATGTAATATGAATTAAGTTCAGTGGTCTAATAACAAAACGTTAAATGTTCATTATTTAAAAAAATTAATAAATGCTTTAGATGTTTATTTGATTTTATAATTATTAAATATTTGACTATTGAAATAATATAAGCATATATTTTATAAGTATTAATATATTTGTTATATATTTTTCAGAACAATGAACACTATACAATGAAATTTTGTGATTCGCACAAAAGAAAACTTCATATATATACATATATTCAATAATAAGTTAATGGAATATCTTAAATGTATTGAATAACATAATTAGAATCATTCAATAGGCTAGTCATTTAATAAGCTTTCCAATTTTGTTTTTATTTTTTTAAATGTTGCTCTTATTTTTCTTTTTTCGTTAAGGTTTTTCTTTTCTTTTTTATAGACATTTTAATCTATCTTCTCATTTTATTTTTTATTTTTGTCTTAAAATTATTATTATTATTATTATAATTATAATTATTATTATTTATACAATTTTATTTTAATCTCATTATTTTTCATTAGTCTCTATTAATAATGGAACTCATCACTTCAGTGCTAAAATAATTCAATTAATTCATATTTATAAAGTGTGTCTTATAAAAAGAATATAAAATATGGTGAAAATTACTGGTGATGTGACTTGCTCTTATTCTATTCATAATCTGCTGTGAAAATGTGATAACGATTTGTATTGCTATTTTGTATTTTGATTTTTTATAAAATAATAATAGTTTTAATAATACTATATAATTATATTATGTAAATAGTGTAATTAAATATTATTATTGTCATACAGTAGTAACACTATTAAGAATAAATTATATATGTAAAGTAATTTTTTCAAGATTTTTTTTTTTTTTTTTTGTAGAATTATTTTTCATTTGTTACATTTTACTATTTCAATAAGAAAAGTATAATAAATTAGTACTATTATCTAATATTTCTTGTTAAGTGTTAAGTACCTAAGAAAATCATCAATACTAGTCATTAATTATTTAAATTATGTTTATGGTTTCAAGCAAATAAGTTTGAGTAATTTATTAAGATACATAATTTTTATGTAATAATTTTGTAAACAAAATAGTTTATATTTAATTTATTAATTAACAAATCTACTATACAGATCTCATATATGTGTATTAAATATGTATATGAACTTACAAGAGTTCTGATAGAATTTGTTCATTAAACTACTACACCAAATACAAATTACTATCATCTTTAATAAGTTTTATTAATATTTTATAAATTATATAAATTGACACTCTTTCTAACGAGTAACTTTTTCCCTTTTTGTGTAACTTCCAACTGTCTATATAGTATAGTGTTAGTAAAATTAATTACACTGTAATTTTAATTTTAATCAAATTAATCTTAAACATAACTATGTAATTATAATACTATAGTTTTAATTTATTATTATTATTTTTTTTTTATAAACTGTGTTAACTATTATGATCAATTGAATTGTGGTCTGATTATTCCTATTTAATATGTTTATAACACATGCGTATCTTTGTACATCAATAAGAATTTTTCCATTATATTTTTGAAATGTGTTGTAAAAGGATTAATTGAATGGACTAGGATTAGAATTTTATATGTTTTTAATGATATTCAAAAAATTATTTTAATGTGTACATTATAAAGTTTTTCTTTTATGATTTCACATATAATTTGTATATTTTTTTTTCTTATAACATGTAAATAAAAGTAAATTTCATACTCAAGTGTGTTGTATTCAGTAAATTTAGCATACTGCATATCATTTTCTACTAAAAAATGTTACAAAACATTTTGGTACCATGTTTGTTTAAATAGTTAAGTTGCCACTATTGCAATTCAAATTTTTATGATATGCATATAGTCATTTATATGTTATTATGTAGCAACTAATAACTGCAAATGAAAAAAATAAATTGTTAAAAAATACAAGCTTGATAGTTACAATCTTATTTGTCTGCTATTGTAAATTTTAAAATAAGATTATGATGAACAATTCTCAAAGAATTGTATAAAAGAAATTATGGTTTTTTTACGTTCTGATACATGATTTCTCCATTCCTGTATACTTGTGTGTATGAATAAATTTATTTTTTTTTTTGGACATAACATTTCTAATATTTAACCATTCAAATTTTAGTGCGCTTACTCATACAATCAGTATGACTGATTTGTTTTCAAGCATGTGCTAAAAATACGGCTTAAAACTTTCATCCTCGGATCGGTCATTTACAATTGAATTCTTCTTTTTTCATTCAATTAAAAAAGAACATTTTAAAATGTAGATCTCCATTTCTCTCCTTGCTCAAAAGTTGAAGAAAATATCAAGATTAAAAAATGTTTGTTTTAAGTATTATTTCAATAAATAAGAACCCACAAATGACCATTTATGGTGTGTAACAAGCAGTTGTTACCCTAGGGTGTATTACGCAAATGTTTAGATATTTTTTATACCATAACTAGTTAATTTTGTATGGATAAAATTTTTTTAACAAATTATTTACCCACCGACCCCGTGACGTCTTTCGAGGTGTTGCGGTAGGAACGGGTGCCACTGCTTAATTAAGTGGTACGAGTTGATTGTGTGCAAAATCGTTTAAATCAGGGGTGCGCAATATTTTTAAATCCATTTAAATGAATTAACTTCGATGAGGTGACCCCTTTCCTACCAAAATGATGTAAAGTATACAAAAAAATGGTAGTTACACAAATCGAACCGTTTAGGCAATTTTAATAACATTTCTTTAATTCTATTGATACAAAACATAAAAAAAATTAAGAAATTACAAAATTTTTATAAAATATAAAGTTTAATAGAATAATATACATGATATAAAACGTTTTCATTAGGTGTTAAACTATTAGCGATCGCACCACTGGTTTGGATCACAATCGGTTGTTATACGGCTCACGAAATACGGAGCGCAAAACATTCCCCGATGGAACACAATAATTATTGCGATCCGCTAGAACGCATCGAGTAAGTATTGCTCGTCGTCCATAGCTGGTTACAGATCGACGCAACAATAACATTTCAGTTTGCCACGCGGTCACCCGTTACCCAACCGATACTATTGATCATGGGCAGGGTTTAAAGTGGGCGATAAAGGGCAAGAGGGACTCTAATCCGTACATGATTCTCAGCGTTCCGTATAGTCCCATACAATTATCAGGTGATTAATCGTACATAGGAATATATATTATGAGACTATGATTACGTTCGTTTGTGACCGATTTCCTCCACAAACTGGTCGTGCGTTGTAAACATTTATAAGCTATTAAATTTCTTATTTATTGCTTTAAATAATAGATCGTAAACATATTTTAGTAAAATAAAAATACTCGTAATTAAAAAAAAAAAAAAAAAACGTGTATATAAATATATAATACAAAATAATTCATTGTTAACATTTAATATTTAATGGTTTTGTTTGTAGAACACTGTTTAACACCTAGTGACATCAACTAAATTGCAAAGCCAATTGTTCGACTGTTTTATTATGTATGATTATTTTTAAAAAATAGTTTAGAGTTTTAATAAACTTTTTGAAGGAATGTTGAAAGGGACGTTTTATAAGTGCTATAAGAGGTTGGGGAACCGAGTTCCCTTGCGTCTCCTACGCACTGTAAGCCCAAATACCGAGGGTGCTGAAAACAAAATTGATGGTATTTCACTGTAATTATTATATATTAACCTGGAAAAAAACAGGGTTGCTAAAGACCCTATTGCGCACCCCCTAGTTGCCCCGATACTGTTGAGCTTGGAATACGCAGACCCCCCATGCTATTGTTATAACCAGACGTCGCTGTATTCGTGTTTCACATCTGTCTTACACAACCGTACAAACAGCAGACTAAGAAACAAATACGCTTTGTACTGTTATAACAACAACCCCAGTAAGTTGTGCAGTATGGTTTTTTTTCCACTCGTACGAATGCACATCATGAGTTTTTATGCTTTTACCATGTATATGGTATTCATCTGTTTCATAATTTTTGACGCAAGACATTTGGTACTTAAAACAATTCAGTCGGGTAATTCGGAGTTCGGCGTGTAAGAAACCCGTCAGGTAAACGGTTACATATGAACGTTACAGCACGAACAAAAATATTTCGGTAAGAAAGTTCCAACACGAAATATTATACCGGTACGTGAACTCTTTTACACAAATAAAAATATAAACATGAAATTTCCCATGCGGTGATAAAAGTAAACGTATTACTTTCTGAATTGTTAAACTGCATAAACACATTAAGTGTTATTGTTATGTACGCGATGTGTTCAATATTCCATGTTCAATAAAAAATTGAATTAGACATTTTCTTTCTTTTTTTTTTTTTTTTTGTATGAAACACGAAAGCCAACAAATTTTAATCGCACCAAGTGATTGGTTGAGCAATAATTATTACCTATAATTATGATCATTAAATGTCATTATGACAATTTTTTAATAACCACAGACTTGCACGTTTAACCATTACTTAAAGTAGGTATATTGGGTATACCATAAAACATTTAATACAATCGTATAATATTGTCTAAATTAAAAAAAAAAAAAGTTATATTCTATTATATATGATGGTTTATTTTTTATTTATTTATGAAAATATTTTATGACATACCATGGTTATGTGATTTATATATTTCTATTTTAATCTTTTTAAATTTAAATTTAGTGAAGAAAAAATAAACTAAATATAAATTATAATAATTTTAATTGAATATATACTAGTTTTCTCATTTTTAATTCACGTTACACCTTTGAATGTAAGTAATCTTCAAACCCAAAATGTTAAATAACTACAAAATACCACGATATTAAATAAAATAATTTCCTAAAATGAATCTTTATTTTATAACATATTGTGTTAAGTACATATTTATTGTGATAAAACACATAATTTGAGTATTTAAGTCTAATACTGTTATTGCATACCTGTTCTAAATGTCAAGTACCTTCAAGCTTCTTATATATTGCAAATACATACAAACTTTTTTATGGAATTTATTTAATTTTAAATAAGAATAGGTAGGTTCATATAATTGAGTGTAATAAGTAATAATTATTAATTACATGATATTTTTCTGAAATGGGTTAGTACATAAAATATAATATTTATAACTCAATTTTTTGTTATAACAATAATATTTATATTTATATATTGGATGTATAATGTTCAAATCAATTACTATCAATCGATGATTATAGCAATTATGACAATATGATGAGTTGTACATGTAATTTCAAAAAAAAATTATAATTTACATAGATAAACCATCGCTGTACATAATATATTATTATAAAATATCAAATGTTAACAACTACAATAGTACCGACTAGAAACTCCTTTGTATAATCGTGTATGTTAATCATTAGATTATGAAGCTGTAATACTATGTGTGGTTTTCTTTTCCGGCTAAAAAAATCAAACAAATTATATTAATTTTTAATTAGCTTTTTATTCATAACTAAATAAAATTCATTTTTATTTTGATAAAAATACAAAATAAAAAATAGCAAATTAATTGTTAAAGCATGAAAATAAGACGTGGAAACAATGACAATGTGAAACTTTTTAAAGTCTTAAGATCTAATGAAAAATTAAAATGAGGAATTTGGTTAATTTTCAAATGTTATACTGATTAAGAATGTTACAATAGTCCAAAGTCTTAGTTAGTCATACTAATGAATATTGTAACGAATGTTTCAACGATAAACGATTGCGGTAAATCCAATGTCAATAGTTTACTGAAGATTGTTTTCATTAACTATTTACGGTATATTTTTTTTATCTGGCATAAACGGTATATACAATTAGCACAATGAGTTTATATTAAAATAGTAATCTCACACGAAAAGGTTGATTTAAAAAGCCAGTGACTTGATTATTTTTATTTATCTATTTATAATACCTTATTGTTCTAATTTCAGTATTATTAAACTTCCTAGATCTAAGATATTATCTAGAGAATCAAATATACGATTAAACCATAGCTACCTCCAATCAATAATAACGTAAGCGTGTGAAACCTAGTCATTGACTGAAAATGATAACGGAAGAATTGATTACGTTTGAAAGGAAAGTGGTACGAACCATATATGGACTAATTTTTAAACCAGCAATACAAGCATATGAAAAAATAAATAATAAAAACATAAAAAGTCTATATAATAGGGCAGACATTCGCTCCTTTATTAGGAAAAAACGGCTAGAATGGTTTGGGCATGCATTGAAAGCAGATAGGCACCTAATTAATAATGTGTTGGTCAATAAAATAAATAAAACAAGACCCCTAGGACGGACCCAGAATTGTAGCTGAGCAAGAAGAAGAAGATTGTTCTAATTTAATTTTATAAAAAAGCGTTAAATATTAAAGTATTGCAATATACTTACGCGATATTACTTATTTTTTAACTTTTTTAACATTTTTTAGAAATGTAAGGATATAAACTTTCGCTTCGATATTACGTACATGATTTTCATTACAAAAATCAAGGGGCTTTAAAGACGTTCATACATACACGAATAAAAATAATATATTTTAAATCATAGTGTATTCAAGGGGCATAGATAAATAACTTTTATGGCACTCATTGGTCAAGGTTTAGGTTTTCGACGTACAGATACACCTATACTGGCTCTTTTCAAGTATTACGAAAGCAATACGTGTTGATTTCAAAGGAATCAACTGTGAACAATAGTTGATCAAATCCAACATCCTGTTAATTCAAGTTAAATGTATTTTATGTATCATAATTTATCATGAAATTAAATTAACACTGCTTTATTTATCAATTGAAGGGTTGTTTGTTATTCGTAAGTTATGTACAATTTGTCATTTATAACTTTGTTAGAAATCCCATGAATACAAAATGAAAACATGAATATGAATTTTGTATACGAGTGCGTTGTCGGGAATTCACTGCACTAGAAGTCCAGCGTTGTGTTATTCGCTGACGAATATATAAATCAGTCTTGGTTTTGAGTTCATTATTTAGTTCACATGCCTAATTAATTTTTGTAGTTTAATTATAAAACAAAAATAATTCATTTTAACACGTATTGTTTTCATCTATTTTTTCAGTACCACATATGAGTATATAAACATACAATTAACAATAATGTGTCGTCTAGTTACGGTTTATATATCTTCTGATTGAATTAGTATTATTAATTAGTATGTCTTTTGATTTGAACATTTAATACAAAAGAAAAAAAGAAAAAATTAATTGTAATTTTGACCTATTAATAAACATATTTTTCAAGATAAATATTTGCTATGAAAAGTAAAATATAGAATATCTTATTTTCTTATGAATAGAGATGATTATCATATATTTTTATGGTTTTTGTTAAATTTTTTAGTTTTAAACTCGTCATTCTAATGTAAGTGTATAATAATGGTTTTGTTACGTGATAAGTTAGAGCTAAAATAATTTTGCAATATATTATAATAACATCAATTTCCGTTCAGTGTCACTTTTTAAATGTAATGTTTTACCATCATTGTTTTTAAATCTATACAAATAATACAAGTCAAAAAACAATGAAAGAAAAAAAAACAGGTCCTGTGTGTTATATGTCTTACCAAATTTTTAAAATTACCAACAACACTACAATTTGTTTTAAAACCAATAAAAGTTTGAATTTAATTATTTATAGGTTAGTTATGAAAAAATTTTTTAATGAGGTTGTTAGAGTCGTTTTTATTTATCCGCCGATAATCAGTGAGTCAACTATCAACAACATAAATTGAAATTGAAAAATTGTACCAAATGTTGTGGTTTTAAATTAAAATATAACAATACGTATGCGTGTAAGTATAGATAATGTAAATATCTAGGACCCCCTTTTATGGGAAATAAAAAAAAAAATTATTATTTAATATTAATTAAAATGTAACTAAAACAGTTCTGTGGTTTACGGTAAGGGAAACCATTAACCCTCCTTGAATCCATTAGCCTGAATACGTGTCAAATTGTCTAATATGACAATATAATATCCATACTAATAAACATTCAATGTAAACAATTCAATGTTTCTGAGAAAAATTATTTGCAAGTTACTGTTTGATACAATTACAGAAATATACATAAAATATTTTTTCTACGACCATTAAAAATAATGATAAAATATTCTGTGGAACAACGTTTTTACCTATACCTATGCAATACAGTTAAACTTCCATTTAACAATATTTTCTGTTTAAAGAATTATTTTAGAAAACCATGACCTTCATTGTTAATAAATATTTAACGAATCCTCTACATTACGATTTTTTTTTCCGTGAGACTTCGTTATATGGAAGTATCGCTGTATTATCAAAAACGATTTCTAACGAACGATAGTTTTAAAAATTTTAATTGCTACATGTAATATACATATGCAATCAATGCACAAAATCTACCAACTGATTATTTTTATTATTAAGTGTTTGTGCGTGTGATTTGATGAACATGTCTTTAGGGTCGTCACCACTCAACAGGAGGAAATACACTGTATAATAATAATAATGTATTATTATATAAACTCACACTTACATTCAGGTCGACATTCAACATGCTTAAAATAAAATAAGTAAAAAACCTATTTAAAAATATCGATCATTTATTCAATATGAAATATTGGATAGCCAAAATAAATACGATTTTCAATTTTTTTCAGAGTCTAGGTGTAACACAAACTTACAAGAGCTTAATTTTACTTAATTATAAGCAATTGTTTGTTTATACGCAAACTATAACTTAAATTTTGAAGTAAATATATCATAATTGCTGTACTTGGACTGTTGAAAGTTTCATAATTGGGATTATGATGTCTTTATTTTTATTTATTTAAATATTATTAATTAAATATACAGTGACACCTAACATCCAGTACGGATTTATAACTATACGGAAATTTGTTTTCAACGACAATCTCATTTGGTCCCGTTATATATTGTTTTTATTAACTTATTTAGCCAATGCTCTAGATCAGTGATGCGCAACTTGAGGATCATGATATTTTAATGGAAGGTCGTCAATAATTTAACACCAAATAAAAAACTTATATACTATGCGCGTATACATACTAATTATACGTAGTGATCGACTTCATAGGCGTGCGCACGGATGCGGCTTATAGGGCTGTAGCCACACCTGAGACTTTTTTCTAGGTAGGTACAAGGTACTTAGGTAAAAAAGACTAATAACTCTTTTTTTTTTGGAAAATCATGTTTTTTTTTATCAATTTTATCAAATTACAAAAAAATAAAAATTGCCGGGACTGGCGTTTATTGATAATCAGATTGTACATCAGTTTTTCTAGTAAATTTTATTTCTACTTACTGATGTTTTGTATATATATATATTTATTTATTTTTTAAGGCGAGGTTTTATAAAGTGGTGTATGATCAAAAAAAATAAAAGCCACACCGGAAACAAGAATCTGCTCACGCCTATGATCGACTCATCGGAATAAATACATTTAAAGGACGCGGATCAAAAAATGTTGCACACCACTGCTCAAGACGATGACGATGTTGATGATGAGTGTTATCGCGGACGCTGTCAATACATTTTTTATCGAAATAAATTAAAAAAAAAAAAAATAATATATATTAAAATTTAAAATCATACATTTCAATGGTATCGTTTATGAAGTTTCACTCGTTGCTAATATGCTGATGAAATGATGGACACATGGACTTTAGTACACGCCTAAATGTTCTTATCTTTGTGGAATTAATACGAATTACGTATATTGTAGGAATAAACTAAACGTAGAGAAATCTCCGTCATTCTGGTTAGCACGGAATACGTTTCATTAGATTTTAATGTTAGGTACGCAATGTTATGGGGTTATTTCACATTCTCGTTACATAAATATTTAAAGAATGTAAAACTTTATTGTCTACACCCTTCTCGAACAAAATAATTATCTGACTTTCACGTCAGGCGAAGATTTATTCGAAGAAGCCATTCATTCCCTTTAAATATTAGACAACCGAATATTGTTAATAAAGAAATTCGACATCTGTTAATTTTACATCCTTACAGCTGCCTTGTTGACTTCCATCATCGGTTCCTACACTCGGAACTGGGTCTCGGTGTTATAATTTTCCTTTGAAAATCGAATCAAATCAAAAGTTTTATAGATTTCTGTACAGAATTCCAACTGTATTATTTTTATGTGCTACCTTAAGTATAAGAAATGGTATAACGGAAAGAAAAATAATCTATATTGTTATTTATGAACTCATTATAATATCCACGTTAGTATGCCACGCGTAACAATCGCTACTGTTGTTGATTTCGAAATAATATTATTCGAATAACTTCCATATTATACATCCGTATTATATATTAAATGTTGACATCTGTATTGGTGTTTATCAACCGATAATGATGATCGATGACAGGAATCGACAGTGATTGTATGTTGTAACAATTCGGTGGCGTATATTGTTTTAACGATGCATACCTATTTTATACACTTAAAAGTGCAATAAAAATTTTAATTAAATATAAACACTCGTTGAAATCAACGGACGGACGGCTACGAATTTCATTTAATTACAGCTTTACGCTTGTCGAGCCATTGTTATTGTATTAGCTATAATCCGAAATTGTAAACGTTAAACGCAATATTGTTTATGTTATAGCGCAATCGAGTTCCGTGAAAACATTGTAAAAATATTGCAGACGAACAGTGAAAATCCTGTCGAACGGAAAAATCATCGACTTCCAAACGAAAAACCTCATTTGCCGCTCGAGCGCGCGCTCGTACGTGATGGGTACATGCTGTTGCGGATCGTTCGCGCGAAGCTATTCGTTCGTGCGCGTTTCGTCGCCGGGGAGGACCGTGAGACGACGAGTGTTGTGAAATCTTAGCAATTAACACAGTCGAACACGACGAGAACACGACGTGTAGCGTGCGGAGTAAAACGTTTCAATTACGACGCCGGTACGACACGCGCATAATTGCTCGGCGTTACGGTGATTTATAAATCAAATAAAGTCGCGCGACTTACTTTTGAGTGCATGATGAGGAACGGCAATTCGGCTGTTAGCTCGCCGCCCAGCGCGCCCAAGTACAGCTTGACCTTGACCGAATACGATACGATAATACCGAACACGTCTTTGATGTCAGAACTCGATATTCTACAATCATTAAAATATTATAACTGGTAGCACGTTTGTACGTGGCTACACGGTAATGTATTATATTATTACACACACACACACGTATATATTTACACGTGCGTCGCAGGGCGAGTGAAATTAATAAACAGTAACGCACGCATAACCGATTACGACACAAGGACGCGCTTGCAGAGGCTGTACAGGTGTGCGCACGCGCGTGCGGGCGTGTGCGAATGGTTTCGATCGAACAATCGGAAAGATTTCACGTGCACGCTTTTTAGGAATTTATTTTTATTTGCTTCTTCTCAAGCCCACCCCCTCCCCACCCCCGTCCCGTAGTTCGTATTTTTATCGAGATTTACAAAGATGATACGGGTAACAGTAACAGTTACAAATCAACAACCGCGATATTATTGACACGCGTTTTTTTTTTCCTCTCGCCTGTTGGCACGGTTGTAATATCAGTGTCTCCAAACACGACGGATTACAAGATTCCTGCGAGATAGCGTTTTTTTTTTTTTTTTTTCGATGCATCGAGTGGGCGCGCACGTAACTCGTTTAATACGTATGCGTTTGTGAAAACATGCGAAGTATTTTTAGCAATGTAAATATACCGTCTCGTAACATAATTTACCAACAGCGCAGTAGTCATTCCGAACGTGCGAAAATTTGTCAATACGAGGATCGGTACGATCGTATGTTGTCAAGTCCGGGGAGCACACTCGCGAAAAGTCGAAGAAGGACGAATGTATTTTTACCTATACGCTTGTGTATTTTTGCACGCGCGCGAACAGCATCGCAACCGAACCGGCCGAACGCGGTACCCGCAGTAAAGGAGTACCACATGTATTATTCCGTGTAGTTCGAACGATCGATAGCTATCGATAGTTAACTATAGTTTGTTGTTATTATCAATTATTGACGGACGAATATTGATCCAAAAGATTGACAAAAGAATACGTGACGAGCCGCGTGCGAATTCGTACTACGAACGTCGTTGCAGCACGCGGCCGATGTATACTTACAGAACGGACGACGCCAACGCAGGTTCTTGTTTGTCGTTGAACTGATCCTCCAGAGCGACGCCGTACCTCCCTTTAACGTTCTCCAAAGTCGGCGTCATGACGACGGTTTTCTGCAAAGATGAGCCCGGCAGTATTGGACAGCCTTCTCTGAAAGCACAACGGCGTGTTAAAACGGCGCGAACAGCGGCACGTAACAATGACCCGAAACGGGGACTAATATAATTGATTTCGTCTATTTTATAATTTAACAGATTGCGCAGAAATTCCATTCCGGTTCGGTTATACTCAGTAGCGTATAACTAGGATTTTTAAATGGGAGGGGCTAAACCGTTTTTTTGGCAGGTTAGGTAAGAAAGGCTTTGAGAGTTCATATGTATCCCCCCCATCACCAAATTTAAAAATGTATTTCAGGCATTTTAAAATAGCCTTAATAATATTTATGAAAATATAATGAATAATAATAATAAATTAACGGTGGTCAGCTGAGGCAATATCGTCACGACATAACATGGTATGAAAACTATTGTGGTTATAAAATGTAAGTGTTAGACCAGAGTCACCACAACGTTCATGATCAGGAGCGTATTTAGGGGGGATAATATGGGTGTTAGAACATCCCCCATCGACCGTATTTTATGGTATTTCACCAAATTGCAAACTTACTTACAGTATAATTTGCTCTACACGAGTATTAGTCTATTAAATTTTAAAACACCCCCGTTAAATGAATCCTGGATACGCCACTGTTCATGATAACCACACTTATGTATTTACTAATGACAAACACCTGTTATTTGTCAACATTTAGATTTAGTTATTACCAAAGTTATTAAATATTTAAATACCAAACAGTAGTATACTAGTTAAGTACATATACACAAAAACTACCCAAAAAGGAGGGGCTATAGCCTTCTTAGTCCCTCAAATCGGTTTTCAAAACCGTATCTCTTTGTTGATCCGTAACGTACCGTAACATTGTTCGAAGTAATACATTATCATAATAATCGAACGGTTCGTACATAAATAAATAAATATGAACCAATGCTTAGCCTGGAGTATAATTACTTTTGCGGAGTACAAATATTTTTATCGTTCGAAGCATTTGTCCTAACGTAAGCAACGTGTATAATGCTGATGGTGATTACAGGTACAGCCGTTCGCATTCCACCAATGAATCAAACGAATCATCATAGTCGGCATATTCCATACGCATTTTGTTCGTTATTTATATTAGTCGTACCTATACGTGTACATTTTATATGTATATTTTTCAAATTAATATTTCATATCTATAAACGCGGGTTGGCCGTCGTTACAGCCATGCACGTAGTACTTAATGGTACACGTTTAATGGTAGCGTCGACAGGCTTTTAATTTAATAATATCTAGGCCAGTGGTTTTCAAACTTTTTTCGAACACGGTGCACCCAGCTATTCACAACGTTTTCATGGCACATGTCTCAGCCTTTTTATGAACTTTCTAAGACGTTTATTTTTTTTGAACATCACGGGTGACCAGTTTGAAAACCACTGATCTAGGCAATGAAAACGGCAATTTATACCAGTCAACAGTTCAAAAGTCGGTTTATCCATATAATATGCTCCAACGTTCTTCGGCCATGTACCTTGGTACACGCACTGCACGTATATATATATATATATATATATCATATAAAAATAAAGTACATGTTGATGTTACAAAATGTTATAACGCGTGAAATGTAAACTTTATCTCTTAGCACGTCATCGCCGTACATGAATCATGCGGATAATACTAATGATAATCAGGTAATTTAGTCTTCAACTTGAATACGTCTTGATTTACCTAGTCAACCGTGATGTTGAATAGTTATTAGTACGGATTTGCATTCGTTTGGTAACGTTAATATCGCTCGGCTTAGCAGAGTATACAAACGCAATAATATAACGAACGATTTATGAAAATTAAAAATTAAAACGGTTGTACAGAAAAAATAACGTTATGAATTCGTATAGATAAACGGGTACGCGTAATGGATGTATAACATACAGTTCGTTACACTCGATCCTTTCGCTGTACTCGCGATAAAAATTTTTGTAAATGTAATAAAACTCGAAGTTCAAACGCACATTTTAAAACAACAAGTCCTGCAGTATTAAATACTCCTACATGGTTGCCATTAAATAATACGATTATGACGGGTTTTTTTCGCGTCGTTCTCTCGAAAATACCGTACAAACCCGTAATTATATTTTATTTTCTACTCCCCTACCGAGGAGTTATACTGAATATCATAATGTTATCGCCGGAAAAGGAATATTTGCTCGTTTTTCCCTGCCCACGTCATCGACACGTATACGTCGGCGGTGGACTGACACGGGTCCGCATCGTCCTACTTCCCGTCCGAAAACTGTCCCCGTTCAACCTCGTAGCGTACGCACACGAGGCGTTTAAATCAATTACAACAGTATCATATGGTTTTTATTATATTTTTCAAACTGTTATGACGGTACATTAAATAATATTTTAACCTGCAAACAACCGGCACGTGGATGCGGTCGCCAATCATTCGGTCGAATACCCGTATATTTGTGCAAGTATATATCTACACGCAGCATACACACGGCGCACATAATATGTGATATTATCTCCAGTGCTAGGAAACTAGGTAACATTTCCGAGTTTACAAAATATTATTGAGAGTATGTGTAATATACCTAATGTGATCGCATATTTTTCTAGTCAAAACGGGACAAAAATAAATATCTTCATAATATTGGTTACAATTTTTTTTTCTAATAATTATTAACAAAATTAAGTATTATTTTGGTTTTAAGCAAAAAACAATTTAAATATTTTATTACACTTATTAATAAGTAGGGCTCGGATTTAAATGCCCTTAAAATATTAAAAAAAATGCCCTAAAAATAACAAAAAATGCATGCATCATTCATTGAATAAATTCAAATTATTATTAAAAAATGAGTAAAAAATGAAATTTTATTTACATCACATTACAAAAAAAAAAAAAATTAAAATCAAAAATTGAATTAAAAATTAAATTACATATTTGAATTGCATTGTATAATTAGTAATTCTTTTAAGTTTTGGAATTTGAATGATCGACGATTGTCTGCCAAATAGTTTTTATATACTAAAAATGACCTCTCAACATCAACTAAAGTTAGTCATAATACGAGTAATAAGTCAAAAATGTTCTAATATAAAAAAAATGCATTAAAAATGTCGAAAAATGTCTCAAAAAATTTTTGTGGGTAGAGAACACGGAGTACCTGAAACAAATTTGTAGCTTGAAAAGCATCTCGTAAGACATCCTAAAAAAAGATTCAAACGCATTAAAATCCGAGCCCTATTAATAAGTAACTCATTTTTATTATAAACAACTTTGTTAGACCTATTTATATATATATATATATATATATATATATATATAAGAAAAGCGTCTACGTAAAAAAACGGTCAACGATTACTGTAACACTGAAATAATGAACTATGCAAAATAATTTTGTGTTTCCGCTGATATCGTGGTGCTTACATATTATATTATATATTAAGTATAATACTCGTATATTTTTATTAGTGTTATCAATCCCGATACACCACACACACCCTGCCATTTAATGGCCATTCACCGTCACGGCAGTCATCAAAACCACACACTTACCGTTCATAACCGCACATTTTACAATGTTCAATACCGCACACATTTATTCTATTGTTAAAAAGGGAAATTTGAAAGGCCGATAGTTCAAAACCACACACATTTGATTAACAGTTCTTTTTTCCTGCATACTTTGCATGTACGGTCCACTCATCAATGTCCATCAGGCAATAATAATACACGTGTATACACGTCGCATGCGCACATAGGTACTAGTTAAATATAATGAAAACAATAATTCATTAACAAATCAAAATTAACCATCGTTATTTTTTATTACAAACAGGAACCGGGAAATTTTCATTTCCCACATATTCCCCGGGAGTAACGGGACATACGATCACCTTAAGTATACCCCTACGAGAACATCACTGGTTATACTTGAATCGTGCAGCAGATCTCACGCAATATAAAACGAAATATACATACATGGATGTAGCAATAATACCTTGGGGGGGCACTGCAGAGATACGTTCTTCATTTCCATTGTCACCGTGACTACATTAACGATTGTATCTTCCGGTAAGTTTCTACGAACTATTGCCGTTATCGTTGTACTCATTACCTACGCCTGCTTTGTACTTCGCCTGGGACGTAGAATTGCCCGTTGACGTTATATAATTGAATACGAATAATCACTATAATCATTATGCAAATCGGCCAATCCTCTGGCGCGTTATGGTCAACCGCGCGACACGGTCGTCAGGAAACAAAGACTATATATGCTGTATAGCAGATATTGTGTCGTGCATTCAGTGACAAAAAATCTCTCCAGAAAGTTAAGATGAAAACAAATAGCTGTATATCGATTATGATGATAGAAGAGCCTGGGTTTAGATCCCGTACGTGTTATTTCGAGTATAAATGTACCTGCCTGCGTGTGTTAATGTTTTACTTGCGGGATATTGTTCAAAACCTGAGTTGCCTCAAGGCAGCGAACTCGGTTCATTTGAAATACTAACATCGTTTTGACTAGTGATGGGAATTATTCGAATATTCGAACATTCGAATATCGGTATTCGATGCTACAATACAATACGTAACGAAAATTATTCGTTTTCGCGCAACACAAAACGTTTAATAATAATATTATATGACTTATGGTGCATAAAGGCCTACAAGAAATGGATTCGAAGCCAGCGATATTTACTATTTGACAGTGGCAATTAAAATACAAAAATAAAAATTGTGCAAAATACTCGAATATCATAATTAAATTATTATTAATACAGTATAAACTATAAATCACTACAGCGAACATCGCTTAGAACGAGATACTGCTTACAAAAAGCAAAACGTTAGGTCCCCGCACAGCACATATGATTGTATGTTAAAATATACGTCTACAACAAGTATAGTTATTACGAGTTATCGGCTATAACGAGTAAAATAAAGCTACGAACAGGTACCTGCAAAATAAGAACTATTTTCGTATTTAGGTCGATTGACATACATTATCTTTAGTTGTGTAGATACGGATTATTTA